CCTGGTCAGTTCCCACCTGTGGGATGACCCCCTTGGGAAATGTTTTGTAGCGTTGGGTCGGCTCCGTCTGTCGGCCGGTGTTTCTCCTTCTGCAATCACGGCGTGCGTTTGAGTTCACAACAAAGACGTGAAGCCAACTCGTTTCCCTGTTTGCACAATCAGGAGAAGCACTGTTTACATTTCAGGCTGCTGTGAGGGAAAGCTGGAAAAGTGCGCTCGTGTTTTGTCTTCTGAAAACTCGCAGACCTTCAGAGATACGAGCGTTTGAGTCAGTCCAACCCGGTTCAATGTCACACAGGACGAAACAGGAGACGCTGATTAGACTCTTTGTTTCTGCGCCTCAGCTGCTTAAATCCCAACATTTTCAGCGTGTTTCTGCAAACACGTGAGGTTTGTGAGGTCGTCTCTGGCGGTTAATGCCCCGAGACAGGAAATGAAAAATGATGCGACACATGAGTCGATGATCATAAATAAGTCAGTCCTTTTATAACGGATCAGTTTTCCTGTTTCAGTGATTATTGGTATTATTGGGTATGTTATCAAAGCTGCTTCAGGTTTGGCTGTGAAACAAGCTCGTTTTCCTTCTGTGGCTTTAAAAACGTCGTCAGCTCTGCAGGAAGCTGCAGATCATTTCTCCAGAAACAGAAAGTCTGGTTTTTGTTCGCCTCCCTCGGGGTTTCACTCTCAGCAGCTCTGCAGAAAAAGCGTCTCTGCGGTCTGACGACTCAGTTTCAGGTCCCAGCATGGAGATGATACGTTTAGCCCTTTGTGTTAATGATGGTGAAAGGGTGGGGGGGTGGGGCGGCCCTTCCTGTCTGAGGTTTTGGGGGAAATGAATGCGTCCTGCTTGCTTTCCATGTGGTAACTCGTCCTTCTGCCTCTCTTTCTCTCTGCAGACGGCCTTGAGCTCCTTCTTCCAGGAGGCCAACGTCCCCGGGCATCACCACCAGATGGTAAGTGCAGGAAAACGTTAGTTAGTAGTAAACACAACGGGTGGGGCACGGGAGTGAAACTCAGCAGCTAGGTTCACATTGATCATCTTCAGTACTCATTAAAAAGATTTGACTTTGATTTAATGAAAGTCTTCTGTGGTTGGATGGTGGGGGCTCAGCGTGGCGAGCCACAGGCTGAACAGTCTCCCGTTCAGACATCAGGAAGCAGTTCGATGGTCCACGCCATTCCTTCTTCCTGCATCTGCGGGTTGGTTTAGTCACAGAGAGCAGCAGGAGGTGGAGGGCGAGCTGCTCGCACACAGACGCTGTGTTTGTGTTTGTGCGCTGTTAGGACGACGGGCGTGTGCAGCCGTAATAACTGTAATTTAATAATTAC